AAAGTCGTCGTTAATTTACCGGCAAAAGTCCAGTCATCGTTCGTCGATCCGATTAGCCTCGTTTTCAAAGTGGCCTCTCGTGAAATTTCAAAAGATAAAAATCATAGCACGAATTTATTTGGCAGTCTACAAAGAGTCTTCGATTTCCACTTTCGTGACACAACGAAGGAAACGTTTCTTTCGTGACAAGGTTATTCGAAGGCGATGTGACGCGACGAAGAGAATCGCGCCCCGAAACGAGTGCATTCAAGTAGAAGTATTAATAGTATTAGTAGTACTAGTACTAGTAGTAGTACTAGTAGGTAGTAGTCGTAGTCAAGGAATCAGGAGGGTGATCCGTTATGAAGCAGCGGTTTACCGGCGCCGTGGGAAGCTCGTGTATGCTTCCGGCTGGTGTCGAGAAGCCTCATGAAACAACGCACCGGATTCTCACGATTGCCAGCGTATCAACGCGCCAACGACATCGTCGTCGTCGTCCTCGTCGTCGTCGTTGTCGTTGTTGTCGTCGTTATCGTGTCGCAAAACCGACGACAGTTTCGAATAAAAACAATACGTAGTCTTCTTCTTGAGAAATAGGAAGAACACTTCAGGAAGACGTTCCTGATCTCTCTCTCTCTCTCTCTCTCTCTCTCTCTCTCTCTCTCTCTCTCTCTCTCTCTCTGACTCTCACTCTATCTATTTATTCATTCCTTTTTCTTCCTTTTCATGTTCTTCTTTTCCATGCATATCAGATCGATTTTCCAAACGATTTTTTTTTACGAAATAAAAAGAAAAAGGAAAAAAAAATAAAGTTGACATGACGATTAAATAGAACAAGCAAAAGAAGCCACGGAAACGCGTACTTTCTTACGTTACTTAAACACGTTAGAGGCGATAGGCTAAACCAATAAACTACTTAATTGGGATCGTCGATAGCGTGCATTCGTTGTTCGTTAGATCGCATTACGTTTATTACGAGATATTATTCCGCAGATCTCGAGCTCGATAAAGTATCATAGCTTGTTTGCGGTCTAACGACCGATGCCACCTAACGAGCGCAAAACCATGTGAAAGGTTCATATTTTCCTTCCAGAAATTACGGTGCAGTCACGTTTGCCTAAGCGACTGCGGGGCCGTTGGTATACTTTCGTATATACATAAGATCTCGTTCACTTCGAGATTCTCTTCCTCTGCGAAGAAAAAGGAATCTTTCCTTGTTTTTTATTTTCCTTTTTTCTTTTTTTTTTCCAAGATTCCACGCGAAAAACTCACTGATCTCTTTACGTTTCTCGTCCAACTCGTAAATCCAAAACACTTTGGTCGAGCTTACACGAGAGGAAGATACGTTTACGAGAATGGATGCTGTGTATCGTCCACGTAATCTCGATCGCTTTAATCTCTTAGTTATATATATATATATATATATATATATATATATATAGAGAGAGAGAGAGAGAGAGAGAGAGAGAGGTATGCAAGAACGATGAGTTCCATATACTGGGCCAGCTTTCGCGCGTCGCAAACTGCATCGTTCAACTATGTATCCTTCCCTCTCTTTCTTTCTTTCTCTCTCTCTCTCTCTCTCTCTCTCTATCTCTATCTCTTTTGTACGCGTGAGAGAGAATCTTGCCCTCGGGACGTGACTCGTAATTCTAGAGTATTATGCGGTAGCTCGATGGTGCTTTCTATCTCGGCTGACGTTTTTTGAAATCGCTACCCAAGCGGCTCCTTTTACTCGGAAGTTTAAAGTAACCAAGATCATCTCCTTGAGACGATGATTCAAAAAAAAAAAAAATGTTCGTTGAAATCGCACGATTTCAATTTTTTCGTCCTTTCGTAAATGTCAATAATTTAAAATTTCTCATATATCTATGTAAGTATTTATAAATGTTTTCTCTCTCTTTCTCTCTCTTTTTTTTTTTCTTTTTAATTTCTTTAAAATCATCGTCTCATAAAAGCGTCATTTCTAAATCGATAAGCGTCACCATATATAAATTGATTTGTATAAGCAACGTGAGTGCATACTCACGATGCACGTGGATATGAAAGTGGTTCGCTGCTTTTATGACCACCTAGGTAATTAACCGATAAGTAGGAACAATTTACCGTGAATAACGTAACAAGTTCTAATGACTTCTAAATAACTAAACGATCAACTAATTGACGTTTTTCGAAGGAACGAAATAGAAAGAGGATGTGAATCGCTATTTTTCTAAACGCATGTTTACAAAGATACTAACCAAAGTTTAAGAGATACAGGAAAAATTACTCACAGATTGAAGTATTTAAAATTGTCATAATTGCCGTTATTTCGTATTCGTTATTATAGATAAATAATAGATAAGTTATTTTGTATAAAGAAAGAGAGAGATTCGATATAATTTTTTATAGTGAATACTGATTAATTTTTGATGATGATATTGATTAATATACGTAAGATTAGTTTGAAAGAATTGTTTGATCTCTTCCGTTTCCGTTTAGACTTTAAATGCGTAAAAAAACATGAAAGATAGAAGGAGGAAAAGGAGGAGGAAGAAATAGAAAAAGAAGAAGACAAAATCCGTCGTCGTGGCGCCCAAGGTGTGGCCGGCGCCTCTCTGCGCGAACGAGCCAAGTCATTCGAAGAATTTACGAAGCAACAAAAGTTTAAGCGGACACTTAAGAAACCAGCCGACAGTAGCGTCACTAATTTTCCTTAGCTTTTTGCGCTCTCTCTTCCCCTCTATTTCTCTCTCTCCTCCCTTTCTCTCTCTCTTTCTCTTTCTCACTCTTTCTCTCTCTCTCTCTCTCTCTTTCTCTTTCCCTTTTTCTCCTTTTCTCTTTCTCGCCTATTTATTCGACCTTTCTTCAGCTTCATCGTCGCTTTCATCGAAACCTGGCGATCTTACTTCGATATACACGTGCCTTCGTGACTTAGTCTTTTCTTTCCTCCGACTAATTAATCTTACCATTACGTTCCTATCCGAAAAATTAATTAAATATTTTCAAAATTATCTTCGATATTTTCTTGATAAATCTCAGATAAATGAAACTTGTCGAAACATTTCTTTTATCGAAAAATTGAGAAATCTTTTGAGTAAGCTTGTATTTTTCATTTGTCGGCATGAATAAAAGTTTAATACTAATTAAAAATTTTTAGAATAATTCTCAGAGAAATCTAGGATAAATAAAACTTGTCGAAACGTTCTGATTATTCGAAGAATTAAGTAATCTTGTAAAAGAAACACTAGTATTTGTCATAATCGGCAAAATGAACGACTATTATTAATTAATAATTTTTAAGATTACTTTCGAAACTATTTCGACAAATTTCGGACGAATGAAATCTATAAAAACGTTTATTTTTTGTTCGAAAAATCATTCAATATCTTGTGAGAAAAATGTTAGTATTTTTCGGGACAATCCATCGTTAATTTACTCGCGTCGTTGCTAACTGACAATTTAATGATATGGTTTCTCTCTCTCTCTCTCTCTCTCTCTCTCTCTCTCTATATATATATATATATATATATATATATACATATATGTACATATATATAAACGGTTCTTTATATGCTAAGATATCATACGTCACGATCCCTGAAGAAGATCCTCATTAACGATTCTCGTTTCTTTTGAGAACGAGTCCGCCGCTTGTCTAAACTAAACGACCGATGAGAACTCGCGTAGTCACGAATTGTGGGTGTTCCGACAGTAATCGCCGCCCATTTAGTATGGTAGCCTCTAAAGTGTAAAGGAAAAATGCAATGTACTATCCTCCTTGCTTCCTGCGCATCACTGTGACCGGATCGTTGAACAAATTACATCGTTTTAACTCGGCTAAGATGAAAGATACCCAAAAACATATTAGAAAAAAGTATTAAAATTGAAAAGAGAGAGAGTGAGACTGAGAGAGAAAGAGAGAGAAAGAGAGAGAGAGAAAGTAAAAAAAAGCAGGCTAACTTTTGTAATTCATCATTCCTAAGTTTGCTGATTTATGACTAGCCACAATGTGTTAGATATATTACAAATATCGTAGAAATTATGCTTTTGTTTTAATTGACCGTAACTAACATGGTTTCCGGAAGAGAACAGAAAATCCATGGTTTCGAATTTTCACAACAAATTTAGATGAATGAAAAGAGAGTCAGCAAATCACTTTCTTGAACGGTTAACGAGTCTAACGATTTTGGAAATATGTGTATAGAACATTCACGAAAAAACAAAAGATCGTTGAGCGGCTGGTAGACGCGACCGAATGACTCTGTACAATTTTCTGTATGGGCAAAGGATGCCGCTGTGTATTCTGAAATCTTTAAAGCGTCGGAAGAGAAAAAGTGAGAGAAAGAGAGAGAGAGACAGACAGAAAAGAGAGAAAGATATTGATAGACGTAACCGAGGACGAAGAAACAAAGACCTCGTGAAGGATCATTTCGAGTGTGACGAATTTCCGATGGGCGTCTATAATCTCGTTCTATTCATCAATTCTACCATGTCTCTAATCGTTCACTCCATTTAACAGTGTCACGAAATTAAATCATTTTTTATCGAAAAATGATCGACTGAAATATTTTAGTTCCTCGAAGAATTCATCGTTCTGTTAAATTTTTACAATATTTTTTTTTATGTTTCCTGTCCATGCGCCAAGACGCATACGTATATACATGCGCGCGGGCGTGCTCGAGTTTAGAATTGTAAATAAAAAACCGAATTGTTAAAAATACCGGAACGCGTTCCACAGGAGGAAAGATAGTCAGGATTTGAGAGAGAGATGACGTTATTTTATAACGCGAGTAAACTCATTAACAACACTATAACCGTTCTAGTCCATGGACTCAGGAGAAAAGCATGGCTTCCGTGATTTTTATCCTGGAATTCAGTCAGCCGAGATCCTCACGTTTAACCACGTAAACAACGGCTTTGTAGCCCGCCGCGATTTCCATTTACGGATTCGACACGCGTCCTCATAAAAGAACGCACCGCCGCGTGCTCTGGATCCCATGGATCGTGATGCGGATATATTTTTGATTGATTTACAGCCA